GCACTGAGCATATGATGAGAATTAATTTATAAAAGTGTCATTTAGAGTGACATCAGGGAGTCTGAATGAAAATTGGTGTGATGCTTTACTTGAAATCATTTTGTGGGAACATTGTAATACCTTCATCATTAATTGAACAAACTGATTATTGAATCATCTTTGCTTTGTTAAATCATAAACGGTAAGTTAAAAAGAGACAAAAGGTAGAAATTATGATATATTAAGTCCTCATTATAAATAAAAAAAATTAAATTCTGAGTCATTATGGCAAATTTTGTCGATTATAATTTTTTGTCATAATTTCAAACTTTTGTCATCATTTTGATTTTAATGTCATAATTATGAATAGTTGTCTTTTAAAATTTTTTTTTTTACTTATTTCAAAATGATAACTTTCAACATTATATGTCATAATTATGATTTAACTAAACATTTTCACACTTTCATAGGGATGATCATTTAAAATGAATTAAAATGCTTTTCAATTACCAACAATAAAATATATAGGAGACTTACGGGTAAAATGTGAATATTTGAATATTGTGGGTTTATTGGGTGGGGGAACTGACTGTGGAGGAAAACTAATTTATTTATATTTTTTCAGTGGCAACACTAATCACATTTTACAAGTCAACAGCTTACAACAGTTATATCATCCAGACTTGGCAGACTGTCTTTACTAGGTGTTTACAATGTGTCTATGGCCTGTTTAAATCTTTTTAGCCAGTGAACCAACATTGTATGAATGTACCGTGTCACACATCTAAACATGCATGATATAAAGCAAAGTTGCTATGTGTGTGTTCACTTCTTAAATAAACACTGGAGACTATTCTTAGAGAGCTGAAATGAGTACCCAGAAACACTTTATGTGTGTGTGTCCGGTTCGAAACTTGAGACAGGTCTGGCAGACGGATGGGAAGGAGCACTGATTGGCTAAATCTGTTCCATTAGGCAAGAGTACAGATTGATTAATATTTCAGCAGATCCAAAAAGTTTAAAGTGTCACTGAGAGGTTATGGATTGTTATTGCCTCTCTTCCTCTGCTCCAAAAAAACCTTGGGGAGCCGCCTTGCTGTCTACTGTCCTTCAAAGGCTATCAAAGAAGACCATTCAAAGTAGACTATCTTTTACATTTTGAAACCAGAGACTTTCCCTCAGAGGGAGATAACAAACTCTGCTTAAAGCTGACATGAAATGAAAACGCACCCAATTTTCTAAATGCACGTTTTGTGTGTGAATAATTAATCTATGCATGTTATTAGTATTATTATTTATAATAATAATAATTCTTAATTAAAATATCATTAACGCCGATCAGCCGGTAAAAGGACAGACTTCTCTCTGGTGATGTATGCTGGACATTTCCAATAATTTATTCTGCTGAAACCTGTCCCTCCCCAATCACATTTACCTTTAAATGCAATTCGTACATCTCAAAATCCAATCAACAACCGATGAAAAGAACCAAGATTTTTTTTCTTTTCCGATAATCTGCCAATATTTCCATTTTGTTGCGACTAAATGGATCCCAATTAGGAGATCAAAGGCTGTCCTGAATGAATGTCAATGGAAGAGTGTTATGTAAATGAGTGTGCTAAATGAATTGCTTTTGTGTGGAAACAGTGTGTTGCGTAATGAATCTACAGCTTTGTTGCTAATCTTCAATGTTTACCATTACATTTTCATTTTGGAGAGATCATGCTTGCTACAAAATCAAAGTGAAAAGTGGTATTCAAGATAAGCACTGCACTCTATTTTGATAGTTTTCTTTCAGGATTATGTAGTCATAAAAATGTGAAAAAGTCAGAGGACCCAAGAGGTTACAATCTCCCCCTTTTAAGAAAATCGTGCATGTCTCACAACAGGTGCTGCCATAGTGGCAAGGGTCAGAGGCAGTGGCATAGCGTCTAAGTATGCAGGGTATGCACGTGCATATGGGCCCGGGCTGATTGGGGGCCACCAAGAAGAACATTTTAATTAAAACGAGGGAACATATTCTTAATTTGTAGCCACAATAAATATATAGGCTATTTTTTTTTGTCTGCATGTCATGTGCAAGGCTTGGTAATTTCTTGTGTGAATTTGTTACGTTGCTGCCGTAGAACTGCATCAAAAAACCACGTGCAAATGCTGCATTGCCACGGCCAAATGAAATAATAGCCTAATTAATAAATAAAAAAAACCTGTGTGAGGTTGGTACCTAGCTAGTTGAAAAGACTGTATCACAACAGTATTACATAGCTTCAGCGACACCTGCACAGTTTTAATTCTCTTTCTTTCATTTAAATTCTCTTTTATGGAAAGACAATGGAAAACCATTCTTTCCACTGAGAATACACGAAGCCTTAAATTAAACATCAAGGACATTGTGGATGAATTTGCCGAAAAAGGCCCATAGAATTAAATTAAATTAATTACAACTAAAACGTGAGTATTTCTTCTTTCTTTCCGTTTTTTTTTTGGGGGGGGGGGGGCCGCTGTGCCAAGAGTGAGTTTGGCAGAATTACGAGCTTAAAGTTGTACTGCGTGAATAAAGTTAATTAATGTGACAATACCACCTACTCCAAAATAAAAAAAAATTAAAAAAACAAGAACAAGATTCACATGCAGCTTGAACTGAGGCGAATATGCTTACAGTGATCTCACGCCGCATTAAAGAGCGGAAAAACACAAAAAACAGGCTTATTGCGATTATTGGGTGGCTATGGTGCGCTACAAATAATGAACGGTAACGGTAAATATTATTTACAAGCATTTTTACCGTCAATAAAACAGCTTGTCAGTAGTCACGTAATGTTATTTATCTCAGAAAATGTGACTTCTCAAAGACAGCTTCAGCATCACAGCAGGGACCTATCTGCATGCCTGTAGTCTTGCATTGATCACATCTGTACCTTCAGTTGGGATCGATCACACTATTATTGACAGCGCTGTGAACGTCCTGCTTATGAGCTTAGTTTGATACTCCCATGTTCCTGGATCGACAATGTCGCTCCTAGAAACACATGAGAGATTAGCTAAACTGGAGAGAAATAGAGAGAGAGGATCCTTTCTTCATACACTTTATTTTATCATTACATTTTCATGTGACAGTTTATGAGGCACAAACAGACTGTAACAAATATATTTCAGACAAAAAAATTTTTTTTTAACTAAAAATCAAAATTACCACACTATTACCCTGAAGTAGACATCAAATGTTACTTCTCAAAGACAGCTTCAGCATCACAGCAGGGACCTATCTGCATGCCTGTAGTCTTGCATTGATCACATCTGTACCTTCAGTTGGGATCGATCACACTATTATTGACAGCGCTGTGAACGTCCTGCTTATGAGCTTAGTTTGATACTCCCATGTTCCTGGATCGACAATGTCGCTCCTAGAAACACATGAGAGATTAGCTAAACTGGAGAGAAATAGAGAGAGAGGATCCTTTCTTCATACACTTTATTTTATCATTACATTTTCATGTGACAGTTTATGAGGCACAAACAGACTGTAACAAATATATTTCAGACAAAAATTATTATTTTTTTAACTAAAAATCAAAATGACCACACTATTACCCTGAAGTAGACATCAAATGTTCAGCAAGAACAGCAAGAGAGTGACTCTGAGATGAAACACTAATAATTTAACTTTCAATGCAACTCCTGCAAGATGCCAAGCAGTTTTTCTATGAACTTTGGTGGTTAGTGTGCAAAAAAGATCCTTAGATGAATAAATTCGAATGGAAAACACGCACTATGGCTTCCTACTCTGAGGTGCCTTTTAGCTTTAGAAGAACATAATTACTTTATTACACACAGAACGAAAAACTTTGTTTAGCTGGTGTTGACCTGACGCAACTTCGAACAGAATAACCACAAAATACCAACTTCCCTTTCTTGCATTTGTCACCATAAGCTCTCAACATTTACACAAATTTCAAAATTCTGCATATTATTCATTGGTCCATTTTAAGCATCATACAACATCTCTTATGACAGGTGAAGTGATTTATCACTTAATGTTTCTTACAGCTTTGACTACATAAACTGACACAAATTACTTATTCAATTTGCATATAATTTACAGCGCAATAGTTCTAAATATTTTCTTGCTAAAGCATTTCAGTATGTTCTGTATGATATTTTTTAATCTGTAAAATAGCAGAAAATATACTTATTGTTTTATGACAAAACTCAAATATATTTTGAAACTCATCTCCAAAATGACTGTGATAATTGTTTAAAGATGAAATAGGTTTCGTTAAATGGAAGCACTTGTGATATTCATACTGAAGTCCTGGATCAAAAACTAATAAGGCAAAAACCACAGATTTCGGTTTGTAGACACAAACACATTCAGTGAATCACAATTACATAACTATAATCTGGAATCCTAATACAGACCTTCAGTGCAGAGGAATATGATATGATGTAGACTAAACTCTGTCTGCTGATTAGCATAACCATTTTGGGCATTCCTAGTTGAGCCTCTAAATAAAGAACAACATTTTCATTTCATAGATCATTTGTGCAAGGAAAGTAATGTAAGGCGACCTGTGTGTTGAATGAATTCTCAAGCAATATATATTTTTTCATCCATTAGCAGTTCAACAGCATAGCATTTTGATTTCCCTTAGAATCATCCTTCCTTTTGTGGTTCTACATGTGCTTACGTGTGTTAGGTCAGGCTGGGAATGACAGATGTAGTGCATGTTCTTATGAGCTGGAGGAATGTTTTGAGATTACTCATTGGATAAAGCAGGCAAAGCCTTTTAATGCCATCATCCCAAATCACACGTGCCATTTATACTATTATTTATAACACCTCATTTAGTCATCTGTATTACCTCACAATACCTTCACCTACATTATATCACAATATCTCACTCCAATCATTTATGTTACACAAATAACAATTAACACTAATCTTTTATATTACATCAAAATATCTCATACCTCTTTTAATTCATACTACGCAATCTGAATAATTTTATACCTCAATTCTTTTTTTTTTGTCCCTTTGATTTGTACTTGTCCTGTATATGTGTGTCTGTATATAAATAAAAGGATTTCCTCATCTGTAACGGACGTAAGTGTTTCACAAACACTGACCTGTACAAGTCACACAGAAAGAGAGAAAGAGGAAGGGAGAGGGTTTATGGCTTTTAGGGCAGTGTTTTGCTGTGATTGCTCTGATATAGTGTGTTAGTGTGCGTCTTTAAGCTGGTTTTTACGTGCATGTGCAATCAGAGAATCCGTGTCAATGGCCCGTTCGAAGAAGCGAACGACAGACGGTTCATTCAGGAGAGACGCAAGAATCTGCTCGAAGGAGAAACTCCAGTCCCCGTCTCTGACCTTAGAGGGTGAGCTGGGGGTGTCTGTTGGCGTGTCCAACACGGGGCTGCTGGTTCCGGTGGGACTGCTGGTGGGCGTAGAAGGGCGTGAGGTTGAGGTCGGGGTAATGTCAGAGTGGGACGGGGCAGTTTCTTGCTGACTGACCGGAGACTCAGGTTGGTCGCCTTCCCCCTCAGCGAGGGTTTCGGTCTCAGGGCTGGTGGGTAATGTTGGGGAGGTCTCCGGCTGAGCCGTGCTGGTGGGTGTACTTTGGGGCGTTTTCTGCGGGCTGCTCTCCTGTAGCTTCCGCCCCACCTCTTCCATGCGCAACAGAAGACTGGTCACTCGTGCCACAGCACGGTACAGACTCTCCTCCTCCTCATCACCGTGGAACACTCCGTACAGGGTCTTTGTCAAACCAATAAACTGTACCTGGAACACATACAGTCTATTTAATTAAACTGAACTGTATTTATATGGCTTAACCGGTACGAATGTGTTCAGAAATGACAACAAATCATTGTAGAGGTTACCATGAGCAACACTCCTATTACACTTCAATAAGACAAGTCTCCATTTGAGTTTGTGTGTGCTCAAGACAAAGAAGAGTAAGAGCAGACAGACTATGACAGAGAACAGGAATAGAACTGCACTGAACAAGGTTAGTGAGCAGAGAATGGGCACTGATGAAACTACTGTCAAACACCTCAAGGTACTTGTGGAATCATCACTGATCAGGACAAAGCAAACCAGGTGCTGTACTCAAATAAGCATGAGGAATCTTCTTGATGTGCCATTTCAAAAATGAAATACTCATATTCCTATTAAGTACACTTACAATATTTTTTACTACTACGTTTTTTTTTTTACATTTTCATATGTAGGAAATAGTTTATATATTCACTGTCACTTAATAGTTTCAAAAAAGTTTTTTTTTTTAAATAAATTCATGTGTTTATTTCGCAAGGATGTATTAAATTGATCAAGTGTCATGAATAAATGCTATTCTTTCAAACTTTCGTTGAATCAAAGAATCCTGATAAAAATGTTTCCACAAAAATATAAAGCAGCACTACTGTTTTTAACAGGTAATAATAAAAGTTGTTTCTTATAATCAGTATATTAGAATGATTTCTGAAGGATCATGTGACACTGAAGACTGGAATAATGGGTGCTGAAAATAAAAGTAAAAGGAAGCCTTGGTGAACATAAGAGAAAAAAAATGTGCAATGTGCACAAAATGTTAAAACAACAAGAAGGTAAACACTGACTGAACACTTAGTAGTGATGCTACCTTTAGTTAAATGTACACAGATGAGCTATACATGAACTGGAAAATCAGCCACAGAGACAAAAAATCCATCATTCAATCAATCGTTCAGTCATCATTTAATACCATTAACTATGCAGTTGCTCTAAAAAAGGAAACAAAGACATTTATTTTTCTGTACACATTTAATTCTGACCACAATTTCATTTTGTGTGTGTGTACCTGATTAATTCTGGGCAGATCTTTAATATTCTCCTCTTTCCGCAGCAAGTCTTCCTGCCACTGTTTCAGATATTCCTGCAGATCTACTTTAGCACGACCTGAGGGGCAAAATACATCAGATTTGTAAACAGCTCCCTGGACTGGCAATCAATCACTTTTCAACTCAAATATTTTATGTCTATAATTTATGTCTTCTGTTCATCTGACAAGTAGCCAAGAAAAAATGCAGTCATTTGGTCATTGCAGAGTGACCCTGACCACCCTGTTATGGTTTATTTTGTGATATTGTTTGATATTATATAGAGAACATGATTAGAGGACAGGGATGAATACTTCACCTCTTTCTGGACATTTTCTGATCACTCCATCCTCTGCAGAATCTACATGGAATAGTGGAAAAAATGTGCAGCCACGAAACAGAGATACTTACACACGTAACAACATGCATACATATATTTTAAAAGCTTTTAAGGCTGGACACGGATTTGAGTTTCTGTTTCTTGTTAAAACCCCAAAATGACGTGTGTTCCTAGATGTTGTATAGGATATCTGCAATATACACACACACATACTCTTGAATGAATCTGACAGGTTGTAAAGCTAGCTGCTATGTACTGAGGTGAAAGGTCAAAGGGCAGTCAGTTTAGTTCTGGGTTAGGCTCCTCTTACCCAGACCACATATGAAATCTTTGAAGTTCAAAAGTCCGTCTCCGTTCTCGTCCAGAAGCCGGAAGGCTGATCGTGCCAGTGAGAGTGCGTGCGTGTGCGTGGTCCATGGCTGTAGGAGGTTAAACAGGCTACTAAACTGGGACTGATCCAGCTGGTACTGGTCCAGATATGGCAGGCTGGGGTCATGGTTCTGCAGGGCAGGACTACACACTGACCAGTAACAGCTCACAAAGTGTTGCCTCTGTAACACACAAACAGTCAAAAGACACACAAGCTTGCATAGTTTTTTTTGCGGCCTTTAGACACTGAAACACACAAATCTTTTTGCATAACTCACTTTAAAAAGCATGTAGAGCTCGTCTAGCTGAGCAGCACTGAACTTCACATCTTGAGCAACAACACGCAACTGCAACAATAAGACACAAAGACAGACAATTAAACAATTTACCATGGACAACAATCTTTACTGCCACTGTATGTGTAAACAATGTGTAAAAAAACTAATTATGCAATGTTTTTGAAAGAAGTCTATTATGCTCACCAAGGCTACATTTATTTGAGCACAAATACAGTAAAAACAGCAATATTGTGAAATATTGTTACGATTTAAAAGAATTGTTTTCTATTCAAATATATTTCAAAATGTAATTAATTCTATTGATGGCAAAAGTTTCAGCATCATTGCTCCCAGTCTTCAGTATCACATGATCCTTCAGAAATCAAAAAACAATATTTTTTTTAAACAGAAATCTTTTGTAACAATATAAATATCTTTACTGACTCTTTTGATCAATTTAATGAATTCTTGCTGAATAAATTCATTTCTTAAAAAAAAAAAAAGATTAATGCTCACAAACTTTTGAACGGTAGTGTATATTTTCCAAAATCAAATTAGCCATACAACTCTATGAATGTGGCTTTATGAGGCAGCTTCTATTTGCATGTTTCTTTTTCCCCCCGTTACAAATTAGATAATAAGCATCAAAACCTGATGAAAAGTTATACATGTATTTTTAAATGAGTTCCATTTACGTTACTTTATTATCATAGATTCCGCTAGTTTTCATTTTCCTCTTGTTTTGTGCAATAAAAATATCTTGTTTGTGTAGGTGTTTATGTGCATAGTAATTAATAATTGCATTTGTACTAGTCTCACAGATAATACTGTATGCTGTGCATGAAAAGGACGTTGCATACAGACATTGTACACCAACATAAAGTCTGATCCACTTTGAAGCTACAACCATTCATTTAAGGCCCCATTATAATTCAAGAACGAATTGGTTTGACGTAATTTCAAACAAATCAGGCCAAAACAAAGGGCCTTTAGACATGACAGGATCATCTGATTGACATGTAAACACTTGCTAAGTGAGAATTTTCCAAACATTTTATGCCATGAACCTCATAAACACTACACCAACATAAACCTGAGCAGCTTGAAATCGTGCAGTCATTCAGAGTACAACGTGATGGTTTTGAGAAAGCTTTTTAACATTTTTGTGAACAAGATAATTCAGATGTTCTATAAACTCTGCAATTTGATGCTAAGACCATGTGTTAGTCTAAATGAAAAAGTTGTACGTGTGTGAGCTTTTACCTGGCAGTAGCCGATTTTGGGGTTGCGATGAGCGTAGGCAGTCAAGACACGCCGAAGAGCTGAGATTCCTGTGTCGCTCTGGAATGCTGGGTGTTCTGGGAGGGAGCGATGCAGATCTCTCTCAATCTCATCACACGCAAGCGAGCTGCTGCCCATACACTCCTCCAGTAGCCGCCCATAGTACCCGGGATGAGAGGTCATGTCATGTACTGCACCTATAACACAAGCAAACATACTTGTACAAACTGTGGCACACACCTACATATACATACACACAACCAGAACAACACACACCTGAGAAGAGCATCCACAGTTCTCCTCTGAGAGTCTCTGGAACTCCTCGTACAATGAGGTCACGTGTTTTTTTGGTGCAAAACATTCCAGTTCCACGGCCATATTCAACAAAATGGATCTGCCACGACTGCTCCTTCATTCGCTCCTTCAGCTGTCAATCACAATATTACCATGTCAACAGTGGGATCCTTACTAATTAAAAACAAACACTATCATTCAAAGTTTAGGGTCAGTAAGATTTTTTAATATTTTTGAAGGAAGTCTCTTATGCTCACTAGGGCTGCATTTATTGGATCAAACATACAGTTAAAAAAACAGTAATATTGTGAAATAATAAAAAAAATTAAAATAACTGTTTTCTATTTGAATATATTTTAAAATGTAATTTGAATTTTCAGCAGTATAATATGGTTATTTGGTGCTCAACTCAAGAACACCTTTCTTATTATCAATGTTGAAAACAGTGTGCTGCTCAATATTTTTGTGGAAACTATGATGCATTTTTTCAGGATTCTTTGATGAATAAACAGCATTTATTTGAAACAACCATCTTATATAACATTATAAATGCATTTAATGTCATTGCTGATCAATTTAACGAGTCCTTGCTGAATGAATATATTAATCTTATTGAGCTCCAACCTTTAAACAGTAGAGTATACCACATGTTTTGATTACATTAATCATCTTCACTAAACTAACATTACACCAATATTGCAATAAGGTTATCGGTACCATTTTGGGGTCAAGGTTTTCTGCATCATGCGGATGAAAGACGTTCATAAGAGCTTCAGTGCTGACGGCTTGACTTTGCCCCACCATAACACCCTCCTCATCCTCAGAGAGAAAAACACACATGCAATCTAGTGTCCAAAAAGTCTCCTCTGGCATTTTTACAGTTGTCACAAAATCATACCATGAAATATGGGATATTTATAATTTGGAGACTACTTGTAATTTTTAATTGTTTTGAAATATATTATCATGATAAGTATATGCATAAAAAAACACAATTTCTTATATTAGTGGATGGAGTATAGAGGAATTACCGGATTACTGATGAAATGCTGGGGGCTTCCTGCTGTCCTACACTTTCTGCGGATGGTGGCAGCAAGTCGCTCAAAATCCCGAACCTCAGAAAAACGCAAAGCTCTCTTGCCACGAAGACACACAGTAAGAGCACGACTACTGCGGTCTGGCAGCTCCACACTAAACACCTACAGGCATACATTAATTCCAAAAACACACATAAATCAGCATTAGTGAAATATAAACACAATGATAACAAAACAGCAAAAACTAATGAACTCTCCATAAGTTTAAAGGCAAAACTGTGAGAATGGCCAAAAGGGGGCGCCTCAAGACATAATATGAAAAAAAACAACTGATATTTATTTTGGATTTATCACTCAGATACTGTAAGTAAAATGTCTTATTTCAAAATTAATTTTCACCCCCTGTTAATGGAAACCACTTAGGTGTTGAAACTAAGACCTCTTGATTAATTTAGGCAGACCATTGTAATAATTCTCTTGAATTTTCTGAAATGGACTGTTTACGATTTTACTGCTTCTGCAACCTTGTGAAGAAAATACACTTTGGCATACTTGTAAAAAGACAATATTATGGAAATATTGTGCTTTTAAAGAATATACTTAAGTGAAAAATAAATGTAATGTTTTGGGGCATTTAACAGCATAATAACCGCAATTAAAGTCCATTATATTAAAGCTAACGGCATTTAATAACAGAAAAATATATATATTTAAACTTATATTAAATGCAATAATCTTTATATGTTATTTCATAATTCTGTTGTGTTTGAAATATGGTTAAAGTGTTAAGTGTTAGCTGAATGTACTTGCAGGCATTTATGGTAAATGCAAATATACTTTAATGCCATTTCTATTGAAACTTATATGCCATGTATTTAAATATATTTGTAATTACACATTTGTAGCAATGAAGCTATAATTTAGTACATCTAAAACATATGAGCTTTAAATATAATATTGAACAACACACTACATCAATTATAATCAAGTATATATTACATTTGCTTTATTATCATGACAAAAAACTATTAAAAGATATTGAATTAAAAGTGTACTTTAAAGTACAACTTTTAATTTGACAGTTAACTTATGTGTGTTCAGAAACAGTCACGAAAGTGCACTCTAAGTACACTTAGGTGGCGTTTTATGTCATTTATATTATCTGCAAGTACAGTTTTTTAAAAATATACTTTTAAGATCTGAAGTACAAGAGCACATTTAATAGAATTACACATACTTCTTTTTCTCAAGGGCAGTCTCCATGACAGACTTATTTGCAGTTCGCAGAAAAATTTGCAATATACGCACCTCCCATAGAGGGATAATGAGATGGCACTGAGAACCATCCTGGCTTGCAAAGCACAGATAGTTCTCAGAGACACAGATTTTCCCAAGCGTATTGACGTGGCTGAATGGAACCCAGAGTAAACTCTCATACACTTCACAAAGGTTCTCCTCCTGCGGCAACCGGAAAAATGCTCGAAATGACTGATTCCGTGCATGTATTTCCAGAGCCCTGCAAAGATTACAGTAGAGTCAGATATTGTCCAGTAAAAAAAGAATGGTAAGAGAAGAATAAAACTAATGCACCTCTGTGTGACGTGAAGGGGATTGGCCAGTGGATGCTCAGCATTAAATGTTTCTTTGTCGAAGAACCGCACAATGGCGTATTCGGCCAGCTGCTGCATGATCAGGTATGTCTGCTGGAGCCTCAGGAGCATTGAGAAGAAATGATCTTCTCCACGCACACACACACGGATGCTCTCTGCCAACAACACACTCGATGTACGTTCCAGACGGCTCACCTCATCCCAGGGATACACCAGTTTCACTAAGCAAGAAATGCACAAAACATGAATAGTATGACATTTTGGCAGATGCCAACTATAACATTTATAAGGAGAAAACCATAACATATGAAGCACATAAGGTGTTATATGTGACATATCTCTTATGATCCACAGAAGAAATAAAATCATACAGGTTTAGAATGACATGAGGGTGAATAAATGATGACAGAATTTTTGGGTGAGCTATCTCTTTAGGACTTTGATATGTAAATGTCCTCTGATACATAAACTTATGTATAATTTATAAAATAATCACTGATACATAAACTTAAGTATAATAATATATGTGGGGCCTTGACACCAACAGATTAAAAATCTTTTTTTTAATAAACGCATTGTTTTCACATTATAACCATCATAAAATGTTACTGAGAGTTTGTGGTATTACGTGCAAGCAGGTGAGCATGTTTCTTACCCTCATTTCCCAGCATATAGGAGTAGAAACACAGGAAGTTGGTGCTGAGGTAGATCCAGCCCTGATTTGGCACTCGTCCTCTCCAGTAGCTGCAAGAGAAATAAGTCACAAGCTTCTCTCTCTGAGGCAAACCGAACAGACGTTCAAAGCGCAGCACTGCCTCCCGGAAGCGTTCGGGATCCTCTTCGTCACTGGCTGATGTGCCCTCCTCTGCTATCAGACCCTATATACACACACAACATATCGTCACTAACATCAACAATCCAAGACCAGCTGCTGGGACTAACTATCTAAAATACCACAAAACATGAAAACAAGAAAGAAAAGCATTCTAAAGTATCTTTAGTACCCTTATCTTTCCCTGGACAAAACTGGTGATGTCTTCGCCAGAATCAAACACAGCGAGAGTTCTGATGATGTTCTGCTGCAGCCAGTCCCAGTGTTTTGAGATCTCCTCTAAAGATGCTCCTTTACACACACACGCAAACGCACGCACACACGCACGCACACACGCACACACACACGCACACACACACGCACACACACACGCACACACACACGCACACATGCACACACATTATATGAGGATCTAAATGAAGAGAGTCACATACACATTAACACTGTGTGCAGCATCTCTCTCACCACAGGCAATGTTCCAGTACACCTGAGAGTCGGGCGTCTGGTGTAAAATGCGAAACGGTGCGACTTTGGCTGTGGAGTCAAGAACTGTGTCCAAAGTTCCAACCAGCAGGCCTAAAACAATGACGTAAAACAACAAACATAACACTACAAAAACAATTTATATATATTTCTTTAAATCTGCAGTCTGATTGAATTTTTAATATAAAAAATTTTACTTGGTAATATAAAAAGACAAAAGCAAAAAAAAAATTCTATATTTCTATTAAGTAGTCATTATATACAAATAGCAGCCAACTATTTTCAACACTGATCCTAATAAGACATGTTTCTTGAGCATCGGTGCGACTTTGGCTGTGGAGTCAAGAACTGTGTCCAAAGTTCCAACCAGCAGGCCTAAAACAATGACGTAAAACAACAAACATAACACTACAAAAACAATTTATATATATTTCTTTAAATCTGCAGTCTGATTGAATTTTTAATATAAAAAATTTAACTTGGTAATATAAAAAGACAAAAGCAAAAAAAAAATTCTATATTTCTATTAAGTAGTCATTATATACAAATAGCAGCCAACTATTTTATAGATTAGCATATCAGTATAATTTCTGAAGGATCATGTGACACTGAAGACTGGAGTAATGGCTGCTGATTTTAAATTGCAATAAAATTCACAATATTACTGTTTTTCCTGTATTTGTGATGAAATAAGTGCAGCCTAGGTGTGCATAAGAGACTCCTTTCAAAAACATTAAAACATTATATACACACACATATATATTATTATAATAAAAGAATACAGAATAATATTATGTTTGACTAGCACTTGATTTACTTCTTTCAATGTCTCTAATGCACATCAGGATGTTAGCAGGGAATTTAATGTTAGTCATTGAAAACTGCTTATACACACACTGTTTCAGAAAGAAGCTGCTGTATTATGGCCCTTAGCCATGAAGCAAAGGTTTCCATGGTGATGAACACCAAAGGAAGAAAATAGTCACTAATTAGAGTAAAACCTATAATCAGCTCAACAATAATTGTGGCCCTATATTCCTCTGTGCTGGCAACTCCTTAACAATATGACATTTATTACTAAAAATGTATTTATTAATTACCTGTTATTTTGTTAAGTTTATTAAGTCAAGTCCCATTTATACAATACAGATTGTTTCAAAGCAGCTTTACATTAATAACAGAAAAAATGGTGTTAATGTTGTAAAATTCATCGGTAATGAAACAAATAAAATTTCAGCTGTAAAGCAGATCTACAGAAGATAATAGTGTCATTGTTACAGCGTTGTTTCAATTCAGTTCAATAACAGTGTTGACGTTTCAAAGCTAGTGTCATTATTCAGCGCATTTCAGTCTATTAATAAGTTGTTGTCATCAGTAACCCAACATCTACCACTGCAGACAATTCCCATCAGACCAATGCCAATAAATCTCTAATGCATTAAAATGCACTCTAATATGTACAGCCATCCTTCCGATTTGCATTTAATTGCAAGATTGGATTTAAAATTGAGCACCACTTCCCATGACACAGCCGTGGTCCTGCCATGAACTGCCATGCATCAATTGTATATATATATATATATATAAAAAGGGAATCTCTGAATGAAAGCTCTAAATAAATTAATCAATTATTAGTAGTAATTTGTCAATATTTTTTATACTGGTATTACTGACATTATACGGAGTTCTCATGCAAATGTACATAATTATAATTATACTTCTCAAAACTCTAAAACGGTTCAGTTGTTTGTGTGTAATATTTAATGTTCAATAAGAAAAAAATGAATGCGTGTACCTTTAAAAGAAACAGATTAAGTTGGCTTAAAATGACATCAAACTTGCAGTAATCATGTTGCCCTTTACTGATAAGATTTTCCCAAGTCGCATCACCAATCAACAGTGCTGGGGGTACAATTGTACAAGTAACGCGAGTTACGTAATCAGATTACTTTTTTCAAGTAACTAGTAAAGTAACGCATTACTTTTTAATTAACAAGAGAATATCTGAGTTACTTTTTTTTTCTTCAATTTATTGATTGACAGCTCTCCTGTCCCCATGTTGAGGGAAATCAGAAGATGTTACTGTAGAGTAGGGCTGCACGATAAATGGCATGCGATATTTAACCCGCATCTTATCAGTAAAGCCGGTTCTGTAATCAGCGGTAAATCTCCATCACGTGCGGGCTTTCACATGGAGCAGCATTAACTGCACAGAGCCGTTGTTCACTGACAAGCTGTGATGGAGATTTACCGCTGATTACAGAACCGGCTTTCTGACAAGATGCGCATTAAATATCGCATGCGGTTTATCGTGCAGCCCTACTGTAGATATAAAATAAATATGAATATGCATTAATTCATCTCACTCACAAAAAAACCCCCACACAGATTCAGTAATAAAAATAATGCAACTCAGAATATGACGCGGCCCTGCAATAATTAAATGTTAAACAACACAAATATCCTTTATGTATTTAATCCCATTCTATTAACATATGTCTTTGCTTCTGACCTTCGATGATCCAGTTCAACCATACTAATAAGCAAAAACTGCTCAAACATTTGTGTGTCTTTTTTATTGCTGAAGTGTGCAGAAATGTCTTCTTCTGCATTCTACTGTACGGACGTAAATTTACTTTCCCTTCAGCCTGAGGCTTTTTCATTTCACTTTAGTGTGAAAATGCTTTTATCTTTGCCAAAAAAGAGCTTTTTTATTTTAAAAACAAACAAGCAAGCCCTGTCCAGATTTTAAAAGTAACGTAACGCATTACTTTCCACGAAAAGTAACGCAATTAGTTACTTTTCTTATGGAGTAACGCAATATTGTAATGCATTACTTTTAAAAGTAACTTTCCCCAACACTGCCTTCTTTCAGAGTGACACTAGTGAGAAAGCATCTGTCAGTAAACGCGCTGAATCCACCTCAAACCTAAACAAACTGCCGTCACAACTCCTGTCAAAGAGAAGTAGCAGTCCAGACTTACCTGAATATTCTCCGTATTAAACCCGTTTGGACTTCAGCTTCTAAATATATAATATCTGGAGGAATGTTACATTTTAAGTACCTTTATGCACACGGCCAGTTTACCGCAGTGGTGACGTCAGCACTCAAAAGAGTCCACTGACAGTGAAACTTGCAACAGACCTGTCTGCAAGGCTGCAGTAACCCTTGACCTGTTGCAAAAGCACTTCAAAATCAATCGTTTGGAAAATCAATTGAAGAGTGTTTTAAGGTGTAACATCGAAAGAGAGATCCCATTTGGATACATATTAACTGAAACATCAGAGGCTTTTTTCTTGTCTAGTATGGTGCTTGAACACGGACATCCGCGCGTTCCCGGTAAGTTACCTGTCAATCCGCCGCTGTCCTCTCCGTATCCGCGTCTGCGCTGCAGCACGAAGTAATCGTTGGATTTCTCCGTCACCCATAATTTCAGCGCGTTTTTGAGAAGCACCTCTTCGGGTTTGAGCCACATGCTGGAATCTGTTTTCAGAGATACGCGTCCTCTTGCACGACACTCGTTTCATCTCAAGCGCATACACCCACAGACTGAGTGTTGTTTGCTCTCGCACCGCTTTTCCCACGTCGACAGAAACTGAGCCAAAGACAGCAACACCGGCGCCACTGGGATTGTAGTCTTCCACATCTGCCCCGCTGAGAAGAGGAGAGTTCTGGCCTGAAAACTACCCACTACAATTCCCATAATCCCCGCGCCACATCATGACTTTGTTTCAAATTATTTAAAGGGAAAGCTACATATGTTTACGACGCGTTGTCATGATACCGCCGGTAGCAGTTTTGACCTGGAGCTCACCGGTTTCGAACATGCCAAGGCCTTTAAAAGAGATTCAGAAATAGGGATGGGAATCGTAAAAAATAAATTATTCCGTTTCTCCTAATTAACGGTTCTTTAAGTAGCCTACCTTTGAACAAAGGATAAAAGGCAAAAGATGTTTACATTTTTAAAGGGTTATACGTTCAACAACTGGCTCTTAATATATATTAAAAACCCTAAACGAACAAAATACTGTGACATTTTGTGAAACGCCACGGATTACAAAACAACTTGCGTACCTTCAACAAACCATTTCATCAATTGCACCGATTTAAGTCTCAAATAACAGTAGTTCTTGGTGCAAGATAAATTACAAAAGCAATACTTTGCGGTTCAGTAAGTGATTCAGATTAGTAACAGCTCCGAACTGTGTTAGGTGATTCACTAAAAAGAACCGAATCGTAAGATTCATTCGTTTCAAGAAGCGATCTACTGGATCGCGCTGTAGATTCATATTTGAGTTTTTTGTTTTGTTTGTTCGTTATCATCATCGGCGGAAAAGCACACGTTTGAGAATCGTTAAAGGAAACGAACATTATAAAGAAAATTGAATAACTGAATAAGAATAATCACATACAAGGGCAATTTCATAAAAGATTTTATTTACAATGTTAATTTTAATGTCAGCACTATTCATTTGAAAGAGTAAAGAAATACTTAATCCCTTTTTTAAGTATTAAAATCAAGAGAACTTTTTCCTTTTTTAAACCATCCCTATTATATTTCTATGCAGTGAGTAATATACATTTGCACATATATTAGTGTGTGTAAGGCACAATACTTCTGAAATTTACTATTTCCATCAAAACTGGAACAATATAATTTATTAAGCTACGAAAAGAGGGGGAAAGTACAGCAAGTCCACTGATTTACAGCAGGTGGAGCACTGTGTCTCTCTCTCTCTGTGTCTCCACAGCTGCTCATCATTACACTTATGAAGGCAGAGAGTCTCAAACCCTGAACACAACCACAATGGGAATTATACCCGGAATCAGAAATCATAATTCCCTGAATTAACCACAGACAATTAAAATATGACCTCCGATTGACCCAGAAATCATTGTGATCACCCACACAGAAAAAGAGTCAGAGAGAGAGAGAGAGAGAGAGAGAGAGAGAAAATGTATAGGCACTTAGTCAGAAACGAATCAGAAAAGGGCTCAGTAGTGCTTTGTTATAAGTCCTCAAATCAAAAACCCTTCATTCATCTGTATGAGTGCATTGTATCAGTGTTTGTTTGTGCTGCTCAGGTCCTGACTTC